AATTGCGTTTTCGCAGATTCAGATAAATCTGTGAACGTTAATCGAGGGACGCAATTGGCCAGGACAAAAACCGGATCACATAAAAAATCACATCTCGACGAAACGAAAATGCTGAAATATTCTTATAATTAAATAGAAAGGGCTGGATAATGTTGATCCAGAATCCCTTCCATTGTATCCACTGGATGTGGTGCTTGCTGGCGAAACCATGAAGTTTTGAACTGAATGCTTAAGGTAACTAAAGGTTCGTTTAGCCGTCAACCACAATAACGTCGCCAACGGTAGAAGAGACGAAGACAACTGGTATGAGTACAATCGCGCGTACAATTGCTGGAAATGAACCAACACAAGAGTTGTTCATATCGCAATACGTCCGAGGTGGTAACGAGTACTCGCGATGGACTTATACGACGATGTTTCCGCTTGGAGAAAAGCCCGAATACGTTTATATGCCGAAAATACGGTTCGATATTGTATTTCTTGTATGAGTACAAGTGGAAATATCGTAGTATGCAGTTCAATGACTGCTAAAATATCCTCTGAAATGTTGCAGCAAATATTGAGGCGGGGAAATTAAATATGAAGACGAACTAAGTTTTTTGGAATTTTGGCATTCTCGTCGGCATCCATGGAAATTTTTGGATTGTCAGAATCTATTGCTTGCACGTTCGAAATTCACCCCACTGCTTTCTTATAATTGGATACCAGATATAGTCTATAAATATGCATCAGTCTGGAGAATCTGATTGAATGATGCTTCTTACAGTCCTTTGACCAATGTATCACCATCATCAGTGCTGCCTGCACCCTCATCTCCTGTCATTAACACGAATGCAGAAAATGTTAACGATGTAAATGAAACAAAGGTGATTAAATTTGAGATCTCGATAAGGACCAAACTAATTTGCTATCCACTTCCGAAGAAGTTCATAGTTGCAAATAGGATATTCACTAGAAATTCGTCGCTCTGATAAGTACTGATAGGAACAATCACTCGATCGTAATCAATCGAGTGATTCTTGTCGTCAGAATCGAATCCGAGAACCTTTTGAGAGTTAGCGTGCACCGAAGCAAGTTGACTGGCGTTCGACTGGCCATGTTTGCGCGCCTTCCAGGCATCAGATGCGCTCTGCTTGTCGCATTCCTATATTTTCAGTCAAATTCAGACTTTTCGCTCACCGGCGAATGCAATCTGATGTTGAAAAACTGCCGAGGATGCTAATTTGTTTGACCGATTTTGTCGAGCATTCAGACGACGTGAAAATCATGCACTTGCCTAATTGTTTTTCGGTGCTTCCCAGCACAATGATTCTCACAATTCTAGAACGTGCACTGTAATTTTAGGTGTCCTACATTCTTATTTATGATGACATTAATTTATATTTACATTCAGCATCATGAAATGATAATTCATTCACAAGAGTGACATTGTAACAGCCATTTTGGCTGTTACAATGGTTTTATTGAGTTGCGATGCACCTCAAATGATTTGCAGTTTTCATTACAGTTCCAGAAAGGTTGTTGAAAGAATGTTTGTTTAGAAACTGATAATCATTTGATGTAAAAAAAAAGCTTTTCAGCAAATGATCACAAAGAATTTATCGGTATATATCACAAAGCAACTGTCAACATGTGAAAATGCATTACAGAAGGCTCGTGTGAATATAGACAACCTGAAGGTGACTTCTTCGCTTTAGAGAGTAATTTGAAGTGCAACAGTATGATGTGCTCAACGGATTCAACACCGAAAAGATGAGATACGTAAAGTTGTAAACTCTTGCTTGATGCACATTCTAGATTTTGGCTGGAAAAGATACTCAAACGGATTTACAAAGACTCGACAAGGAAACAAAAGCGTTACTCGGTGAAATTAACAGTTTGAACGATGCGTTGCGTAAATCGAATGACTCTAATGGCGAAATTAACGTCAGCGAGAAGTTGAAAGTAAAATAGTTCTGAATATTAATCACATTTTGCTCAAAAATTCAATCGTTTCCATCACTGTGAAATAGCCATGAATTTAAACATGTGACGGTCACGATCCATTGATTTCGGATGTCATTTGAACTGATCCTTAGACCGATTTTATGCCACCACGATGATTAATTCGAATTTTTAGCTTTTCATATCTGCGAGTCTCATTGAGATCCTCTTAAGACTGAAGCAACTGCCAAGGTAACCATCCATCTTTCAGATCTAATCCTATAAAATTATCGGGAGAAAATGATAATTCATTTACAAAAAGAGTTTTGTTAGTATACGACGATCGATTAAAACTGATGGTTATTGTTCACAAAATATGTAAGATGATACGTTAATAAAGAATCTTTATAATGACCGCCTGTTACATTTGATCATTGAGCAATTAATATACTTCAATACTGGAATAGAAGGCATTTACCAAAGGAATCAGCTTTTTCCTAAAGGAACTTTGTTTAAGAATGTTCCTGAGTATGCTGTCCTATCCGAAATATTTCATAGTCGGATGGCACTTGCTAGTTGTAATGTGTATAGTCAGATGGAACTATTGATGTCATGCTCAAAAAACTGAATAGCAACCGTCCTTATTCAATTGCTCTTCTTCCTTATATGGTATAGATAGCCATTGCATTAATCAATTTATCCTGCTTCACAGTTTCATCTAACCCCTGCAGTATTCAATTCCTGCTCTTTTTTGACTTTGCAATGAAAATTTATTGTTATTCATGTGATAAAACCGCCAAACCACACAAACATAATCGCATACGTTGGAACGCAAAAAACCCCATCGAGAACCATAGCGAACGAGTCATTACATCAGATTTGATGTGAACTTATGCAATCTTTAACCTTTGCGTGTCGATGCAATAGCAACTCGTTTGGTTGAAATCATAAAGTTTATTTACAGTACATCTTTACAAGCAGTGAATTGTTAGAATTGATATTTACAGTGTGAGTTATCATTCAATTATTCTATCAATAACATTTATTCATATAAAACTCATTGCGTAATCGGTGGTAGCGTACACACACTGATGATTTGTACCGATAGTTTTATCAGTGAATTGACTGAACAGGGAACGATGCACGACATGGTTGCCATCCGATAGTGATGCAATCAACGAAAATGCATTCTTGTTCTTCGTTGGAACACTCAGCGATAATCCTTGGTACTGATCAATATTGTTGATCGATTGAAGAACTGATTTCAGCAAGGATGAAGCCGTAAACTGAAAACAGATAACTTTGAACATGGAACAGCACAGTCAGGGTTCAGATACGAATTCATGCTAGGACAGAAAGATTTATGAAAGATAGCTGTGGAAATAAATAGTTTAGAAAATATAATTCTACAGTTGAAATGATGGACGAGATTGCGGTTAGTGTGAATCAAACCTTGTTGTTTGCGTAGAAAGGTCCTATCGAGAGGAAGTTACTAACCACCTTACGCACATTAATAATACCAACGATTTTACCGTCCTCAATGGCGATCTGAAATCCACACAACAGGCGATTATGCATTTTACGAATGAGTGCATTTGGTCAGGTATTATATGTATACTAAGTTGATTATCACTAATCAATTAAGAATTGAGCGATAAAACACTGATATTTTCCACACCAGAATCACGTCACACATAAAGGAGTCTTGGTGGGAAAGCACTACTGAATATATCAGCCAATTGATAGAAGAAACATGGCAAAACAGTGGTGTCGATTGGAGCAGAAGCAAAAGTAACAGAAGAATGAATGATTTGGAAAGAAAGCGCATAATACCTTATGGAGAGCATTTTCACTTCGAAGCATCTCGCAAAGATACTTCAGTCTATACGATCCGGTAAGAGACATATCATAGGCCAACAAGTCTTCCAATTTCACATTATGCATCGAAACCATTCTGAGATTCGGATTCGAGTGGAGTGCTGATACGTTTGCATGTTTCATATCAACTGTCACTGGCGTTGGATGCCAATCATTGAGCTTATTGAAGCCATAAACTGTGGCTAACTTTGGTGACATCTCTTGGACTGCAAAACATTTCGGCACCTCATCGTTGAAGAGAATTCATAAATGTTGATGGAAGATTTTATGATGGCTTGCAACTTGCTATATCACGTATCAGTAATGAGCAATTATTTTCGAATTCATACACACAAATTAAGTGTTTCTATTATAATGTGACAATCGTACAAAACCGAAAAATCGATGCTTTTAAAAGCAGCGCAACAGAGGATGATTGCTTCTAAGGTTAATGTATAGCACAATAATGTGAAAGAAATTATAACATTACTATAGTATGCTATTTGACTATGTGAAGGCTCATGTACAATTGAATAATCGCACAATCCTGTATGGCTTTTCGCACTTTCCGTCGAAATTTACGCGCAAAATTTCGTCAAAAAGTTGACAGTTGCTGGTATGGTTTTGAAATAAACGATTCTCTCTGATGAATACCTGCGTTCAGCGTTATATTTCCGCCTTCCTTTTTCCATTCTGCAATCGATTCATTGAATAACATCGTACCAACTCCAACACCACGATAATCCGGATGCACAAAATACATTCCTAACGTCCCAACTCTGGTCACATCATGCTTGGCTGGATATTTCGCAAGCACAATCGAACCAACCACATCTTTCTTATCTGCAACTCGGTATCGATATCATTATTGTTAGCACTCAGGTAGTTACCATGCAATGCTCATTTGCAAATTGTTTTGTGCTATTAAGTTAATTGAGAGTAATTCAAGATCAATTTCGGAAAATTTTCATTGCTTAAACCTTAAGGAATGTTGTCTTGACCAGATCATACTATAATGAGCCTAGCCAAGCTGACGTTCCTATGTCAAAACTGTCAAGCGACAAATCTATAAACCTGCTGAGCGATCAGCATATGACAACAGACGACAAATAAATGGCTGTTGCCATTATATTTCATCAGAAATANTTCATTATAATTGAAGTAATCATAATTACAATGCGCATAAATTTCACAGTCACAAAACTGACATCGCTATCAATAGCAATAGCGGTTGCATGTCGACTCTCGATTTGATGACAATATTAATAACAATGCTGCAAATAGCGATGAATATAATGATGACAGCATTACAGCTGGCAGCATGCATGCTCAAAACTGGAACGTAACTACTCACCATTGGTGAGCGCAGTATAGAGCGCAAGCCTTTTATCGCCGAACGCTCTCAACCACAACGGATAATCTTCATATGCCAATAACCATTTTTCATACTTATATGTCTGAAATTTGATCCATTTGTAACATCGGAAATAAGTTCGCAAGTTTTTAATAGCCACTCTCTATCGTTGATTAAAGTCAGAAGGGTGAGATTAATGTGTCTGTGGAATGCTACAAATAACTCGCATAACATTTAAACAATTCGGAACGACTTCGAAGCACGAACTGAACACCATACAAATAGATACAAATACAAAATGAATAGATGCAAAAATTGTTGCGTGTAACAAAAGTAATTATCCAAACTTACCAAGTCAACAATTTTATTCCAAATCGCCGGTGCTGGATTGCGAATAATATCGATTTTAACCATTTTGTTGACACTTAATGTTTTACGGGAAGTGCTTCTGATTCCTGCAGAAATGTTGCGATTGCTTTCGNAAATGACATTACAAAATGCAAAAATCATTGTTGAAATTCTGGCGTATTGAAATGACATGAGCATGTCTCAATACTTCACATTAGTGGTTGGCTGGCACGTTATAAATAATCAGTTCGCTATGTTTATAGGACAAAATATGATGACGTTTGTTTTGTTGCACTTATGGAGAGAGTTTTTATTTGTGTACTCGATAGGAGAGTGATGCGTAAGCGTTGAATGTCTTTTGGAGTGGTGTTTTGACTGCGATTTTAATTCTAATAACCGAACAACAATTGCGAATGCAACAAGAATGATCAATGGTGAGGCATCGACTTGAATCGATGTCATTTAGGATTGATCAAGATGAAGAAAGTCTAAAATTGTGCTCCAAACAATATCAAGTAATTCATATCATATTCGATTCGAATTTGTTCAACCACTTGAATAACTCAAAGGAATGGATAGTGTTTGAGAAATGTTTCAATGAAAAACCTAAATATTTCGATGGATAGATGAAACGCGAGAATTCTAAGTTACCCATCTCAGAAACGAAACATCAATCAAAGTAAGAAGTGATAAGCATTTAGCTTCACTTCCATTTATATGAAATTATTTACGAGTACGATAATTTCTTTTTTTTTGAAAACGATTTCTTGAGAAGCAGTTTCATGGCTAAATAAGCTGTCACCATCGACTATGGGACGAAGAAAATCAGTGTCATCTCTTAAATGAGAGCAACAGAACGTTCACGGCAACATTTTATTGAGAAACGATCACCGAAGCAAAGAAAATATCAGCAAAACACAACATTCGAATAGTCTCCTCATATGTTTATAAAGCGTACGGTTGAACAAGGACAAACTTCGAACTACTTCAAACAATTGTAAAGTTAAAATACCGAATGAGACGGCATGTTCACCAAACAACTCGCATATTTCTGTGAGCTCAACTTACGCTGTTGCACCTTTCTATCGAGCAAATTCATTCATACTAATTAATTGTAAGAGCAAGTGATCTTTGGAAGAATACGTAAAATGTTAGAACACTGATTGCGAAACGATAACTTCTACTGATGACTAAACAACGCCGTCAGAAATTCGTTATTGCACTGCTATGAAGAAGAAGAGTGTGCATCATTGGGACACTTGTACTCATAGAAGACAGCGTAGAATTGGGAAATGGCGTGATTTACGGTAAAATTCTGATACGCAACTGATAACTAGGGCAAGAAATGTTCGCATTCATTTACAACGGATCAATATTCTCATTATCAGTCTGCCTTTTCCTTACAAACAGAGTACAACATAATTGAATTGGATTGTTCATTACAATTGGAGCATACTAATTGTAAGATGAATTTTGTGCAAATTTTCATCGTTGGCAATTCTGAGTGCAAATAGCCCGAGAATTTGTGGAGATCGTAAAAAAATAAGTGCAAATTGTAAAAAATAAGTGCAAACTGCAAAAAATCACTTTCACAACGATCCTAAGCCACGTTCTCAGAGCACTATTGGCAGATTGTTGAGCACGTCACAAGGCTGCTAAGTGACTGAATAGAATTACACCAGTTCTGGGTATAGTGAACTATTTGACACTGGAACGAGAAACTGAAACCGTCATGTTTGAAATGATAAATGACAAGGCAACTAAATGAGAGAACTTTTCAGATGCTATGAAATTTTCAATCTAATGATATGAAAGTTATCTGCAAACCTGCGAACTGCCGACTGAAATTGATGAGTATTAAATCAAGTCGCAAATTTCGGTTGAGCTGATACATGGAACAGCTGAATGAGCCATTGTTTTGGTTGGGTTTGTTCGTTGAACCGTTAAAATGACATCATCAAAAAGTTGTAAAAAACAAAAACACTATTGGATGGCTCGTAAGACAGGAATGATTCGGTAAGGAAGTCCAAAGGAGTCCAAATTTGAGTTTTTCCTAGCTGCAAGTCTTACTGACATCTTCATTAAGAAAGTAACTACGGAGGTATCCATCCATGTTTCATTTCGTCTGATTAATTCCATCCAGTATTTAGTCAGATTAAATCATCATGGTATCCATCTAGTCTTATTAAATCATCATCAAAAAAGACTCATGGACTCATGCGCAAGAAGATTGTCATTAGTTTGAAATGTTTTATACCAACTAACTTTCTTGTTTACAAAATAAATACGACGATGTGTTAATAAAGAATCGTGCAAACGATTGCATGGTCTCATTTGATTATTTGACGACTACCATGCATTTCTTCATCGTTTCGCATTTGAATGAAAGCCGAGTGACATTCTCTAATCCATCGATGTTCTCATAATTCATATTCAGCCATTTCATTCCCTTAATACTCATCGCATGCGCATTACCATATAATATCCGTCATGCGATTTCCTCAAAACAGTTTCCACAGCTCATAGATTCAGTGAAGCAGCTTTCGTCATATTTCTATCTTCATTGTCATTTTTCATGGCAAGTAACTCACGATGTGTGACGCATGCGATGCGAGCCGATGTACCGATTTTTATGATGTTCTCATTGAGGCAGTTGAACGCATTGTCCGATTCATTCCCAACGCCTGAACATTTTCCGCTTAATGCCTTGACGTTTTCGCTTATTTCTCAACGAGCAATCAACATTCATTTGATCATTTTCCTTGTGAAGCTTTTTTTACAGCTCCATATTCTACGGGCCTTCTTTAAAAAACAGCAGTGTAGGATGAATGTTGCAGAATGAAAATTGCTCTCCGTACCGGTTGCTAATGGGCATCGTATTGAAATAGATGAAACAATCGATCTAGAAAAAATTGTCTGATAGAATATGTGTTCATTAAAATGACAGCGCAATTTGAAGATGAGCAATTTGTAATTGCAAATTCACGCGATGCATTCAGTGTTTTTTGCGTGAGTCGCCGCAATCATATCATGAACCAACACACATCGTGTTTCGATTCTAAGGGCAATCTTCATCAATGGGAATTGAATCTGTTGATGAAGATTGCCACTGATGTTTTATGACTTCTCGCAATCACGTTGACATCATTCAGTCAAGAGCTGTTCAGATTGAGCTATGCTTCTCGCAGCCAATCATTCGGTTTCCGGCAATTTTTAGTGAAAGCATTTGTTTGCCCCTCATTGTTCGCCGTTAGATGCAAATCAACGATGCTGAAGCGTTGATTCAGCGGATATGCAAAGCCGAAATGAAATTTCGGTTGACAGAGTGAGGTTATCAAATTATGTAAGCTAACGATCGAGCGAGGGAGTGTTCTTGGAAGGAAACCATTGGGAGAGTGGCATTGTCATTACTGAACGCCAACTCGTTGATAAGCTTCATTGCTACTTGTTTGAGTCGTGTCTAATCAAGGAAGTTTCAGCAGTACGAAAGTCGCTCTCACTTAGAGAGATTCACTTGATTAGCTTCTACGTTGCCTCGATTGACCACGACTAATTTTATGGCGATTTAATTTTCAGTTATCTACGTTGCACAACCGTTCTAATGTTGAACGACTTCTAAAGAAACGTTTCTATTGGGTTCAACAAGGTGGTTCGAAGTTGAAAATGGATCCCTGCGGTGAGTGACTTAAATTTCAATCTAATAAAGCATCATTCATCTGACGGTTTTAAAACAGAAACACGTTCAGTTGATTCTGTTATT